CGAGTAGGCCATTTCATCCGGCAAATTCTGAATTTATGCTCTTCCATGTTAAACCTTTGAACATACGAACACAACCCCTCTTTCTTCCCTTGGACGATGGTCGAAAAGTTAAGACTAGTCTTCCGGGGTGGTATATTGTAGGAGAAGTTTCCAACAAACAACAAGTTGAGAGTTGTGAAACAATTGATGCATCCGGCCGGCAAACTGTTGAACTAGTCTTGAGCCACACCCTTGAGGGTGGCCAGGAAGCATTTGCACCAAGTGGAATCATCCACAGTTTGCAAGTACATTAGATTTCTGTACGAGGAGATATGCTCTTTAGGATTGCCCGTACCGTCATAGGCACCCACAAGTACACTTTTCACTTTAGCTGGATAGGGAGAGTTGAGAATTTCTTGAGAAAACGGAGGCGGCTTGTCACCGAGAGTCAACAAGCGCATTTGCTATTCAATAGGCTGAGGTTAAGCGGCCGGTCCAGCCAGGTAAGCTACCTGGTCTTACGTCTGGTTGAAAGGGTAAGTTGGTTGAGAGGGTAAGCTATCATAGGGCATTTGAAACTGAGCTGGTTGAGATAAAGGAATTGGAGTTCAAGTACAATAAGCTTGACTTTTGTTGATCCTAGCCGAGCTCGTATGCTTGGAGAGGGTATGGTTTGACATTTCATCCGGCATTGTGGGGGTGGAAGCTGTGTCCGAGTAGTAGGACTGGGCTCGCTCATACCGTTTGTGCCGTAGATATTCTGTAGCATCCTTGAAGCGCTAAGACGACTCATTTGGCTGCCACAGAGGCTGCCTGGTCTGCCCCCAGCTGACTTCTATTTCTCAAGGACCTTCAACCAGTTCGCCCGAGGCACCCTTGGGGACCTCGGCTGCCTCCTGAACGGGGTAGCTCCCGATCTTCGGTATTGGCCGCCTTGACATGGGGCTTCTTTTTGGTACCCTCTCCTTCTTTACTGGGCGGCTGCCTAGAGGAAGAGGGTATCCTACCCTTAAACTCCTTTCGGAGCTTTACCAAAGAAGCCTGCAAAGAGCCGGTCGTCACAGGAGGATCCTCGACCTCATGGAGCGAGGCGATCAGAGGAACATTGTTGTTCATAGTAACCTCAATATTCTCTACATGTCCGTCCTGATCAGGACCGGGTGTCTGACCATCTTTAGCCATTTAGACGTATATCCCCACATACGGTGCCAAATGTTTCGTGGGTTTTTGGAATCCCTCGTGATACAGGTCGTGAATATAACCAGACGACTGCAGGCACCTGCAAAACAATGAATTATCCATAAAACAGAATATTCGCCTCCGACGATCAAGTTAGTGATCGAAAAACGAGAATATTTAGAGAGAGAAAGTAGAGAGAAGTTGGAGCAATTACTATGCAATAAATGATATGTCTCAATCCACCCCTCCCATCATCAATGATATGACCTAGAATGGTGGGCGCTGATTGGCGGCGCAATCAGATCAGAGTAGGTCACGTGTCCTAAAGGGCGCCGTTTTCATGCACAGTTTTAGGGAATCGGGCTCCTAATGTATGGAGGCTTTCTCTCATTCAGGTGCTCTTACGCTTTGCCACGTGTCGCTTTCCTATCGGGACACGTGTCACACTTTCATTGGGCCACGTGTCAATATAGGATTGGTCCACGTGAAGGGGTATTTTTTACCATAAACTAGAGTCATACCCAAAACCCGAATTGACCTTACCCGACCCGAAATTGACCCAACCCATACCCGACCTGGATGACCCATTTGCCAAGTCTATGTAGTACTGTGTTTATTTAAAAGTAAAATAGGATCATAAAATTATAAATATTGACATTTATGTTTTATAAAGAAAATTGGGACAAACATTAAAGAACAAAAGGGAGCATACAATCAACATATTTACTCTCCTAATGCTCCCTTTCACTAGGATCAATAAGTCATTGACAAAACGTTGTCCTACTTCATTTTCTTTAGTCTTTATACCTCCTCTCAACCCCCTACTCAGATGGTGAACAACTCTAGAAATCTTTATTGTCTAACCATTGATCTACCGTACATCCACAAATATGTGTGTGCTTAAGCTCATGTCAAAAACTCCTTAAAAAAAATATAAATAAATAAATAAAATTGGTAACTATTGGATACAATAATACTTTCCTCTAAAAACAAAATAAATAAATAAATAAATAAATAAATAAATAAAAAATAAAAAATAAAAAAAAATGGAAAAAAAAAGGAACAATTATGGATCAAATATTAATCTGATGTCCAATGGGCCACGGTATTACTTTCAATGTCAAATAGGGCACGGTATTACTTCTAGAATGGTAAATGGACTACTGTAATATTGATCTACTTCATATTCACAACGTTGTCAAATGGACTTGTCTAACCACTAAAACCTACCGCACTGCAATTTTGCAAACCACATTTTAATACGTACAGTTGTGGACTTGTGGTTCAAATCACATATTATAATTCATATTTATAATTTAGATTTATAAAAACGGTAATCTTGATTCCACAACCAATTGTGCTTTGCTAGATACAAACCATATACAGAGTTTTGTATATGCTCATTTACATTAAATGGACAAATAATTTTTGTTCATTTATAAAAACGAGCAGAACTTTTAAACCTCTTCTACAATTATTCTACAAATATTTTTTTCTCTCAATTGTACAAAAACAACAATTTCGTAAGAAAATAAGTTTGGTAATAAGATTTTACTTTTAAATAATTTCGTAATACTGTGTTTATTTTAAAGTCATCTTCAATTGTTCGTCCCTCGCCTTCACTTTCTCTATCCTCCTCCTTTGATCCTCTAAACTCTTATATAATTAAATCAAATTTGTTTATTTTGAAGAATTAAGTGAATGATGAATTCAAATTAATTCATTTCTAGGAGTTAATATTATTTTATAATCAAAATTCTTATTAAATTATTTCACTTTCTCTCTCCTTATCTCTCCGTTTTTATTTTTCTTTTTCTTTTTCTTTTTCTTTTTCTAATAACTAGATTTTGCTCATTCCCTCACACGTACGTCCGGAAAAAAACCCAAATGTCTTAACTTCCAACAAATTATTAACACAAAAATAAGCAAAATTCATTCTCAAAACCGATTTTGCCTATATGATTCAAATGAGCAGAATTTGCATTATAAGTGAGTTTGCTCATATTTACCATAATTTCGTTAAATAAAATTAATCATTAAATTATAATTATCATAATATATTGTATAAATTTTTAATATTGTTGTTCTTTGCATTATATAAAAACTGTGATTAAACTGCATCACAGCAAACCATATTTTGCAGTGCGTTTAAATATTCAAACTTACACTTTTGTAATTTAATTTGATTTAATTTGGGTGACAAATCGAACTACATTATGAATACCCGGCCCTTAGATTAAAAGAATTATAATGGGTTCCAATTAGGTCGATACAATAAGTTCCCAAAGCTTCAATTTGTTCCTACGAGAATAAGTTCCAAGTAGCTTCAACCAAGTCTAATAGTTTTAGAAAAGTTTAGTTCCATATTGTTTTTAATTTTACAGGAAGTTTAGGTCTATATTGAAGAAGAGAAAGCACCGGAAACACTTTACCTCCTTTTCTCTTCTTAACTTCAATGGTAAGCTAATTAGTAAATTAACTTGTTATGCCACATAAGATTTTAAGCCAATCTCTTTTGTAGCTAGTTTGTGCACCAATGATTAGCAACTAGCTAAGGTTGTGATTTAAATAAGCCTTAATTTCCTCATTAAATTAGCTTCTTAAATTTTATTTTGCTAATATATCAATTTCTCTTCTTAGCATGTTTTTTCTCAAGCAAATTAGCTTATACTTGACCAAACAAATTTCAATTCATTTTTAGCTCCAATGGTCAAGCTAGTAGCTAGGAAATTTTCTAAATTGCAAGCAAGTCCCTAACTACAACCATTGGATATGCTCCTCCCTATTCTTAAATTCCATTTCAGTGTATTAAAACTACTCCCTCCATTGCACACTATAATATTTTTTATTTTTGTTTACACTGTCTTTAAGATGTACCTATAATCATCAATATCTTTAATTACATTTTAACAAAAATTGTAAAAAGTTTAATTGATATTATAAAATTACACATTTTAAGGCGAATCTAACAATATCTTATATGACCATATTTTTTTTAATATATTTATAGGGAGATTTTTCTGTGTGCCTGGCCACACCGTGTGGCCGGGGTTACTCGAGTTACTCCTAACCAAGTAACCCCTCGAGTAACCCCTGACCGAACCCCTCAAGTGACTCTTGATCGAGTAACCCCTGAGCGAGTAACCCCTCAAATAACCCTTGACCGAGTAACCCCTCAAGTAACCTCTGATCGAGTAACACCCGACCGAACCCCTCAAGTAACCCTAGACCGAGTAACCCCTTAAGTAACCCCTGACCGAGTAACTCGAGTAACCCCTGAACGAGTAATTGGACCACACGGTGTGGCTAGCCACATACAAAAATTTGTGATATTTTTATGTGAATTATTAGTCAAAAAATTTCAAAATTTGACCACAAAAAATAGAAATAGGCCAAAACTATATTATATAGAATATTTTATATTATATGACAGAGGAGAAATTTCTTAGTAAAAGAATTAATGTCTTAAAAATTTTGTGGATCGTTAAATTGTTACTTCCTCCGTTCTATTAATATTGTAACAAGGAAGAGAAGCACATTTTATATGCTAAATATGTATAATTGTGTAAGAGTAAAAATTATAAAAAGTTGATATTGTGAAAGAGACGAATCCAACAAGATCCCACATGACTATATTTTGCTTAACGTATAAATCATATTATATGGTCAAACAAGAGTAATGAATAGTGTAAAAAGTCAATTGTTACAATATTAATAAAACGGAGAAAGTATAATTTGTTCGTTTGCACTTCCTAGCATCATTCCCTTTTTTTTTAGTTAAACAAGTAAGTTATAAAACTTTCAACCTATCATTAAAAGGATAATTTCTTTGTGGCTAGTACGTGTTTCCTTGTACAAACAAACAAAAAATACAATAATCAAAGAAATTAAAACCGAAAGAAAAATTAACAACGCAAGCTCCAACACACCAGTGATTTTTAGCACTTCGGCTGGCCGGGAAGTTCCACAATGTTGCCTTACAAGACGATCAACGAGGCGGAAACCGCCTTAAACGGAACACTCACCTATGCAGAAACTCTTTGGTTTAACTACTCAGCTAATAAATCAGATTTCATTTTGTACTGCCATAACATTATCTTCCTCTACGTCGTTTTTACTCTAATCCCTCTACCACTCGTCGTTGTTGAGCTTCTTGGCGCGGCCAAGATTGCGCGGTACAAAATCCAGCCTAAAGTCAGGTTGTCATTCGCTGAAATAATGTCTTGCTATAAGGCCGTGATCAAGTTATTTTTCCTCGTTGTTGGTCCGCTTCAACTGGTCTCCTACCCTGCTTACAAGGTCCATTTTTATTTCTCTTGTTTTTATCTTTTGTGCTATTCAATTATATATGGCCACCAATTGTTAGTCTTGAATTAGCTGTTTACTACAAAAAACAAATCCATGTTATATTTTAGCTAAATTATCAACTTTTCAATCAAAACTAAAGAAAAAAAAGAGCATGCGCAAACAAATAAAGTATAATTAAGCTCGCAATGTTGTAGATGAAGGATGTGGTGGAAGTCGAGTTGAGCTGATAAAAGTTTACCTGGCATGAAAATACTCCAAATACGAGTTCACTTTAAGTCCGACTATCTTTCTTTACATTGTACTATTGTACTCTGACTATACTTTTTCCATGTGATCCATATATTCTTATTTTTTTACTTTATTCTAGTAGACAAATTAGTCAGTATTTTATTTATGTCAATGCACATAATATATTACTCGTATAACGTATCAAGTTTTTGTAGTTTTTCGATTGCTCAATATGTCAGTATACTGTGTACATAGGAATAGGAGACCCGCCCCATTCCTGCCCCAACGGGGCGGGGATTGCTCTTGATTTGACGAGTGATGGGGCAGGGAAGGAGATAAAAACCATACCCGCCATGGCCCATGGGTGATGGGGCGGGGGTGGATTTTAGGTTGTACCCACTCCATCCCCACCTACCCCCATTGGCGAACCTGCCCTTGTGCATGGTGAGTCAAATGACTCACCAGGGCCCAAAAAAAATTTCTAAGTTTTTTTTTTAAAAAAAAAAAAAATTATTTTCTTTGGTTGATTTTGTTGTTGTTTGTTTGGTAAACTTTGAACCTTTTGTTAATGTTGTTGGGTTTTTGATGAAATTTGAACCTTTTTGACCATGTGAATTGTAATCAGTGTTTATTTAGGGTGTTTATTGATGTTAATTATGTCTGTCAAATTGTCAATACACCATTGACTTTGGTAGATTTATATGGGGTTTTGCATATGTGCTGATTTGATTGGCGATTCGGACGATTGTTTATGATATAGTCGACCCACCCTAATGATATAGTCAATTATGTCTGTCAAATTGTGAATACACCCTAATGCTTGTACAGATTTTAATCTTGTCAATTATTAGAGAGCTAAGCTTGTCATGTTGTCAATTTTTTTTTTTTTACATATTTGGTTATCGATTGTGACTCATCAGTCGGAAATTCCTGGGTCCGCCACTGCCTACCCCACTTCGTACCCGTCCCATCTCCACATCCATATATTTTTAAAAACAAAATTATTCTTTTATACTATTTTATAAAAGAAAATATATAAAATAAAATAGTAAATATAATACTTTGTACTACACTTATATTATAAGCAAAAAAATGTGTAATATTAACAATAATTTTTTTCTTTTGCAATCTTTATTAATTATGAAGGATTGCGTATTTGGGAGACGGGGATTAGGCGGGTCTTAGGTGGGGATTAGGTGGGGGTGGATATCCAAGTTGGGGTTGGGGCGGGGATGGTTATGGAATTGTACCGGCCGGGGCGGGGATGGGGATGAATTTTAGACCCGCCGCGGGGATGGGGATGGGGATGAAAATTTTAGATGGGGATGGGGATGAGAAGGCCAACATCCGCCCCGCCCCGCCCCATTGACATCCGTAGTACCATACTGTAGGAAAAGCAAAGGTTGAAATTATTCAAGAAAAAAGGAGGGTGGTTTTTTAAAAAATGTTTTAAAGGAAGAAAATTAAATAATTCTATTCATTTCAATCTAAATGTAACAAAATTTCACATGATGCCGAATGCTCTAATTATCTATATAGTACCTCCGTTTCATATTAGTTACAACTTTGAGTTATTATTTTTGAAGTATTATTTGTGAAATATAAAATATTCCAAAGTTACAACTAATATGAAACTGAGGTAGTACTTTTGATCGCTATTATATTATGATGATTATTTCAATCTTTTCCTTGTAATGATTACTCTAACCTTGCTTTATTTGTATTGAATTGGCTGATGAAACGTGTGGCAGTTCATTGGGATAAGGACAGGATTACAATTGCCATCAAAATGGGAAATATTGATGCAATTAACAGTATATTTGGTAGTTGAGGACTACACAAATTACTGGCTTCATAGACTTTTGCATTCGAAATGGGGGTATGAGAACATTCATAAGGTGCACCATGAGTATACCGCCCCTATTGGTTTCGCAGCACCCTATTCACATTGGTCTGAAATCTTGATCCTTGGATTTCCAGCGTTTCTTGGTCCAGCCATGGTTCCAGGTCATATCACTACGTTCTTGTTGTGGATGGTCTTGAGACACATAGAGGCTATTGAAACTCACAGCGGGTACAGGACTACGGACGCTTATATTACCACCATATGACTTATTTTATTATGTTTTGAATATATATTTATGTTTCAATATTGTTGGATATTGGAGTTCTATGTGAGATTGTTTCTAAAAACTTTTATGGTTTGTCATGTAGATATGACTTTCCATGGACACCAACAAAGTACATTCCGTTCTATGGTGGCGCGGAGTACCATGATTACCATCACTACGTCGGAGGACAAAGCCATAGTAATTTTGCTTCGGTCTTCACTTACTGTGATTACATCTATGGGACTGATAAGGTGATTACATTTTGTTTTATTGTTAGTTAATTATGACCTTATTTGTTCTCAGTTTATGATTTACGATTTACAATTTACAAATAAATATGACCTTATATTAGTCATCTATGATCAATTTTACATTGATTAATTTTCTTGTTAGTTGAACTATGATATATTATACATACACGTACTGATGCCTATACATTTGATATGATGTCTTATCAGGGCTATCGTTACCAAAAGAAGGTTGCAAAGGTACTCCGTACACCTTATGAGTACATTTTCCATTCTACACCCTGGTGCAATTTGTCACTTGAATCCATCATCCATGTAGCCACCCCCACCCAAGCGTTATCAAAACGAGATTAGTCTTTTAAAGTAGTTTAGATATAATGTTAAGTGTGATAGGTTTATTTACACAGATTACTTACTTTATTGAACTTCATCAACCTAGTTATGCCATTGAATGCATTATAATTTTGGTACATTGTTTTTATGCAGTTGAAAGAAAATTCGAGCAGCAATGGCCAACAAGGACTCAAAATCGATTAGGGATATCCTTGGCGCTCATTGTATCGATCGACCTCAAGGAAGATGTCCATTCGTTGTTATTATAAGCAAATAAAGCTTAGCTGCTGGTCGAATGTTGCCCCTTCTTTACATGATGTAGTTTCGTACAAATTTTTATTTTTTTATTTGTAATATTATTGCATCCTTATATGGGGTTAATAAAAACTTAATAAATCAGTCTATGATGTTCGATGCCATTTTTCGAGTATCCTTAAGCTACCTTATTAGATCCCTTAAGCTAGTAAATGGCAAGATCTATTCCATGTTTCCATACATTCTACATTTCTACGATATGATGCATGTTAACAGTAGCACTTAAATTTGGTTGATTGGCTCAGTAATAATTCCATGATGGACGCTAGTCATTTTCAATTTTTGTCTTTAATTTAAGGAGTCAGTGAGTCAACGTAATCACCTTAACGATGTGTTTGGATAGAGAAAAGGGAAGGAAGGGAAAGGGAGGGAGGGAGGGAGGGCAAGGGGAGGGAAGGGAAGAAAATAATGAGTTTTCCTTCCAGATCTCAATATTGTTAGAGAGATTAATTTCTTATAATATAATCCCTCCATTTCTCTCCCAAAATTTTTTTTCCTTCCACATTTGTTATCCAAATAAAAGATAATACATACCTTCATTTCCTTTCTCTTACTTTCCCTCTATTTCCTTCCGTCAAAACAAAGTGTGAAAGTCATGGGGATAAAGCATAAGAAGTCTCAAATAGGGGTTCATTCACTTTCTAAACAATTAAGCCAGAAGAGTCATTCGGTTTAGCTTTTGAAATATTAGAGAACCGGAACCATCTGCTATACAATTCTTAATATTATTACCTAGAACTAAAACCACCGGATCTAATTCCAATTCCAAAACCGACCGCCTGTTCTTAGTTAGTTTTGGTTTTAATATTGGATTTACGGAATGCTCACCTCTACATCGGCCAGCACCAACAAATAATAGTACGAAGTATTTATTTGATAAATTATACTCCTTTCATTATAAGCTAGAGTTACTATTTTCGTCCGCTTTTTTTATAAGCTAGAGTTCCAATTTTGAAAATCTCTTACAATTTAATAATATTTCTTTACCCACTAATGTCTCCACTCTTTCTTACTTTATCATTTCTCACTTCTTCAATGGTCCCCACTCCTTCTCACAACACTTTACTTTTCAATAAAATAATAACCTTATCTATCCCAATAACTTCTTATTATATTAAAGCTCCTAAAATTCCGCACAATCTCATCTCTAGCCTATAAAAAAACGAAGGGAGTAATAATCCGTAATATATGATAGAAAAAGATAAAGAGGTAGAAGTTGCTTTAATTAAGTAGCAAGTAAATGTGTTGGATGTATACGTTGTCTGTCACCTTAGCTTGTGAATGCTACGTACACTAGTTGTATCTTTTGCTAAGCCTCTTTTATCTCTGCAATTGCCCGTTGAAGGTTGACATCAGCCACATTACCTTCCATCAACATTTGAACAAGAGGGAATTCGTCAAAATTGTAATTGTTAAGTACAGGTGTGAGTTGTGTTTTGTCTCACATTGAAAAAGAATGCAAATAGCTTTCGGTTTATAGTTCAATCGGCATACTTCTTCTATTGTCAATTGATTTTAATATGGAACCTTGGTATGAGCTCTGGCTTGTGGGCTTCTGGGTTCCTTTACCTTGTGTTCTTGTAAAATTGATGGATGTATCTCAATAGTTCTCCCCATTTGTTATAAACATGCAGATTAATTCATCCTCTAGCATTAGCGTCTAAGCTTAGTAGTCTAGATTTTATTGTACTACTGTAGTAAAGTCTAAACTGCATTTCATAGTAATTTTCAAGTCTAATTATCGACGGTTATGTTTTATTTGTGAAAATGGTATGGAATTTTATTTTAGTTATTAATTGGCGGCGATGGGGTGATTACCATTATATTAATTTTTATTGATTAATTTTGATTTTTTGATATTAAAATTAATTATTAATCATTTATATAATTTTTAAAATTCATTTATTAATCTTGAAATAATTTTTGAATTTTTTTTATAATCTTTCTAATTAATATTCAAAATTCAATTTTTATTATTACTAAAATTTAAAAATAATTCATAAATTAATTATAAAAAAATAAAAAATAAAATTTTAAAATATAAAAAAACATTTATAATTAATTTTGATATTCAAAAAAAAAAAATCAGCCAATAACAAAATTTAGTATAATGGTAGTCATTTAAGTATGACTACCATAAAATTATGTGAGCGGTAATCATAAATATGAATTTATCATCCTTATATTAATGAAGGACATATAAATTTAAATAGACAAGTCACCGGGTAGGGCATAGCCCTAAAATTTTAATGATTTTATCAATAAAAAAAATGAAAAAAAAATAAATAAAAAGAAATTAAATGTATTACGGCAAGTCGGCAATGATTGTCATTTTTGTCATTAAGAAAGGACTGTTGTACAACAGTGGATGCAATTGACTAAGGAGGACAACAATAAAGGATTAAAGGGACCAAAAATAATTAACTTCACTTGATTTAGCTTGTACTAGACTAAAAAATTAACTTGATTTAGCTTGTACTAGACTAAAAAACCTTACTTGATTTAGCTTGTACTAGACTAAAAACAATTAATATGGTAGGTTAGTTATTGCCTTATTGGGCACATCTCTACCAAAATTAATTTGTTGTCGACACCACCACCACGAAACAGGGAAAACAAATGAATCTTGTTACTTTTGTTAGGTAATAATAAAACTATTTAAATTGACAATTGTACAAGTATTTTTCACTTCTAATGTTAGTTGAGATGAAATGCTAAAAGAGGGGGTGGATTGTGATAAGTTTCTAAGTGCTTGTTTTTTGCGAAAATTAAAACAAATCTAATAGGAACTTGAAAATGCACATTGATATTTACGAGAAAATCTTCCAGGGTCTAATTAGAAGTAAAACCTCGACTTGAAGGGATTTTCAACACACAACAAATTCACAATAATAGGCCAAACACTCCTAGTTATAACCTACTTTAATCAGAGTTTTTTCACAAGTTCCAGACTGAACTTGCTACTCGATAGGACCCTACCCTACCCAACCTAAGTCCCTGACTTAAGTTCTACTCAGCACTCCAAGAGTACTAATCACTCGGCTTTACACTAGAAGCTCACTCACTGTGTTTTTAATATAAACTCACACCCACTCCCAAAACAACACAAACAGTTAAACTCTAATATGTGGTTGGAAAGCTATACATAAAACCCAAAACTAATAGGAAAACTACATTTTAATAATCTCAACTTTCACATGCGTTTTATTTCTTCAATCCCAAATCGGTCAACAAAAGTCAATGACCTAATATTCCTGGTTACCTGACACAAGTCAAGTTGTGATTGGTCCAAAAATTTAAATAAAAATAAAAATAAAAATAAATAGAAAAAATTTATTTAAAATTAAATTAAATAAAAAAAAATTAACAGCCATTCTTACTCAACCCCTGCAGGTGGCGACCACCCCCTCAGCCCAAACAACCACCTCCTTCCCCGGCCCCACCGCCAAACAACCCCTCTTCAATGACAACGTGATCAAAACAGACCCCCTACCCAGCTCCACCCCCAAAAACGCCCCTAACTCAATTTCCACTTCCTGAAACCCACCCAAACCCCCACCCTCAAAACCCACGACCTCCTCCCTTTCCCTCAAACCTCGAAAAAAATGAGCAGCGTCGGCAATACAACTCCGGCAACCTTCGATCACCATGAAATCCAGCAAAATCCCCACCCCTAAATCCTAAATCCCAAACCCTGACCCTAACAACTTTATTCTCCCACTCAAATTCTTCCCACCATTACCATAGAATTTCTCAGCTAACAACAGCAAAGAAACTGCCGTCCTCGAGGTTTCATTATCACCTTCGGAAATTACTCTGGCAGCGACGATTGTAAAGGAGCGAAGTATGGGAGGAGAGAGAAAAGCAAAAGGGAGGGGGTACGATGTTTGACAGTAAAGGGTGGAGAGAGAAAAGAAAAAGGGAGGGGATACGGTGTTTGGTAGTAAAGGGAGGAGAGAGAGACTTGTTTTATAGACTAATAAAAGTGCAACACATGGAATATTAGAAAAAAAGTTAACCTTTTCAACAAGTTGCCAGTTTTTGGGACCGAAGAATGAAAACGCATACAAAAGTTAGGATTATTGCAGAATAATCAAAAGTTGAGATTATTCAAAGTAAATTGGGCAAAGTTGGGATTATTAAAATGAATTTTTCCAAACTAGTATGATAAAGCTCTTAACTTTGACAAACTTACTTTTAAGTGCTCTTGAGGATTTCATGCATAAAACTCACACTTTACTCAGAATATGAACTCCTCTATATATAAGAAGCATTCATACATCGAGTAGGGTTTTTATTAAAAAGATAAACATTAAATGTATCAGAATATAAGCCTGAGTAAAAAAGCCTCATTTGATAAAATCCTTTGCAAAAACTGAATAAAGATCAAGCTTAGAGAAAGATAAATATTTTGTAAAACTGATCTTATAAAATAAAATCATTAGGAGATCTGTTTTCATAAATACTAAGTTATCTTTTATAAAGCTTCCGTTTTATTCACTTTCTAAGCTTTATCACATAATAAGTTTCATGCATATTAATCCATCACCTATTTACAACAATCCTATAGAAAATAAACTTATGATTAACCTTTGTAAAAGTCCTCAAGTTTATCATCAGATTGCATCCATCGAACTCTGTGTTACTTGTAGGAACTTGAGTTTTTCACAGACCAGGATTAGAGTCCTGTTGTCTTCTCTTCTTCAGCATCTTGCTGGAACTCAAAGTCCAACTTCCTCTGGAACTTGTTGTCTTCAACGCAGACCAAGCGTATTAGTTAGCAAGCGATGGAACTCTTCTTTTATTCTTTCTTACTTTCTCTTATTTCTCTTTGTAGTCTTCATAGCTCAGATTACTCATCCACTCTCTGATTCTACTTCATTTACGCTAACACTTGTAGAAAAAAGCAATTGGGCTACCCCTAATGGAAAGTGGTTATTGAATTCCACTTCCAAACCCACAACAAAAATCCACCCCAAAAAAAAAAACAAAAAAAAAATAAAAATAAAAATTGAACCATACAATTGGGGAGTGATTATGGGTAAACCGCTTCCAATATTGTAATTGAAAGCGGTTTGAACCGCTCCTCATTCTCAAATCTCCATAATAGAAAACCCTAACATTATTACTTACATGTACAAGCCCCCCCCCCCCAAAGATTATTTCTTTCTTATCTCTCTCCTTCCTCTTCATGCATCTTTCCTCTCTCCTTTCCCTTTTTCCTCTCTCATGCATCTCCTCTCTCCTCTCTCACGCATTTCTTCTCTTTGCTCTCTCAACCATCTACAAACACACAACCACCAACATTTCATCAATCTAACACTATCCAATTGCATAAATTACCACAATTAACACCAAAACCCTAGGTCTCTTCATCGTTGTCATCATCAACATTAACAGGACGGCGTCAGAAGTGAGTCAAGCAGAAAATTGTTGCGTCGATTTCTCGGTTGTTGAGAAGACGGTTGAGAACCCTTGGTCGCTTCTTTTCAATGGCAATTTCCACTAATTTCTCGGCGAGGAAATCGAGGAATAACTCGGTAGCATGTGTAGGAGATGAGCAACACCCAGTTACCCCCAGCAACCCACCACCGAGCAAACCACAACAACCACGTCCACCTCGCTCCAACGTTTTTATCAAATTTCGATCTACTTTTAGTTTTTATCAAATTTCAGATTTTAATATCTTGTATTTTTTATATAATTGTAATTTTAAATTATATTGAGTGTATAATTTTTGTTGTTAGATTTTGTATTTTTGATGTAATTATTGATTTTTTATGTTGGCTGGAATGTGCGTGTTGGCAGGTGTGGCTGATCTGTCTTGGTGCGTGGTGGAAACGGTGGCTGGTGACTAGTGGTTGGTGACTGGTGGCTGGCGGTGGCTAACTCATGTTAGTATTGTTGGGGGAACGAGAGCAACAACAAATTTTATCAATTTTAATATTAATTTAATTATTTATTTTTATGAAAATGTAATATTACAACAATCGATTAATGAAAATATTTATGTTTGTACATTTGTTTAGTGTTTGTGTATCAACTTAAGTGAAAAAAAAAGCCAAAAAAAAAAAGATTTTTTTAAAAAAATTTATAGGCATAATGGGCAGTGGTTTGGAGCCCAAACCGCTTCCCGTTTAAAGGGGCAATGGGATGCCCTTTTAGCCCTTACGGTTCAAAACCGCTTCCCATTAGGGGTTTTGAACCGCTTGCTATTTGTTGTTTTCTACTAGTGCAGTCCAACACTTAGATAAATCTCATTAGTTGAAGTATGCTTTTTCTCATCATCATCAAAACCCTTCAAAGGTCAACAATTTCCCTCTTTTTGATGATGACAAACTAAGCAAAATTCAAGCAAGAACATAAACAGAATAGAAGGTTCATATTTTTGTTGTTTTTTTCATTTTTAACAAATAAAGCAAAAAAAAAAAAAAAAATAAATAAATAAATAAATTATTATATATACAGATCATTATCAAAGAAATCTTTGATACTCAATTAACTGGAACCTATAACTTTTACTGTCAAGTTTACTTGTTCTTTTCACCTTTTTGGGACTATAAAAAAAAACCTGCAATCAAAGTTATTAGACGTCTAAACACAGCCCCACAAGCAATTCATCAAGTGTGGGAAACTGAAAGCAGCGCTGACTAGTTCCCTTTAGCCAAAGCTTTCACACAATCTTGCATATACTTTCACATCACATAATGCACACATGTACATAAACAGAGTTTCGAAATAACATTAAAAACCAAAAGTTGCCATCTTATTTTAGAAATTACAGAACAAAGTTCAAAAGTTTCAAAAACATAAACTGTTCCATGACATAAACAGAGAAAAATATTCAAAGCTAGGTTATTTGGCTAGGTAAGGATGCAAGGAGTGTTATAGTTCAATCCTCAAGGAGCTTGAGAATCTTCTCATAGTCTGCCTTGTTGTCTTTTATGTTCTGTACGTGCCAGCTGCTCTCCCAAGTTCTTGATTGCTTTCTGGACCTCCAACTGCTGTCCTTTTACACTATTTTCAATTCAAGTCCCTGGAAGCCCTTCTCTAGCTTCCGCACCTTCCCCGCCATCTCCTTCACTTGTTTCTCTACCTGCATAACCCTGTTAGTAAGCTCTTCTAGCTTCTCTGAATCTTTTTCTACCTCATTATCAAGTTCTAGAGGCTCATCAAAGCTGGTTTTTATGAGGATTCCAGCTAATAGTCTTCTACTCTTCCTGATTGGTTTCCTGGATCTTGAACCTCCACTCTTTTCTGACTTGTGTCTTCCTTCTTCTCCTCAACCTTTTTCACAATTTCCATTCACCACCACCAAACTCAGTCCATTCAAAATTTCTTCATTAATGATATTTTTTGCCATCTCTTTTAATCCTCCATAATAACCATCAAGTTTCACACCCAATTCTTCAAAAATCGAAGATAATATAGCACCATAGCCCACTTTGTTTCCCTTAGGAATAGAATAAGCCAAATGTTGGATTATTAAGGATGGGAAATTAACTTTGATTTTTCGAGTAAAACAGAAAATTATGGACATATCTAGCAAGCTGACCTCATTTTTCATCTGTGTTCTAGGTAAAATACTTTTTCTAACCAAATTAAACAACAGCTTGTTTAAAGGACTCAAATCATTACAATTCATTACATTAATTCCTCTTTTTCCTCGGCTCCTAGATACTTTACTATATCATCAGATAGATAGTTTTGTACTTTGACACCAAATTGACCCTAAAATAAGCTTCATGACCCTCAGTAGGAGCTTTTAATAACATTCCTAATCTATCCACAATAATTTCAATCTTGTTGATTTTACTAGTCATAACTCCTTCAACCACTTAAAAATTATCACAAAATTCATCCATAGTTAGCGAGTACAAGTAATTGTTTGAAGCTTTAGTTAGCATGCAATGTATTCCCACCCTTGGAACTTAATTAAATCGAGAAATTCCAAAAACCTAGCACTTCTACACCAAGATATATCAAGTCTTTAACTAACTACGTAGCTTTTAGCTTTCTTTTCTAACGCTTTCTGATCTGAATCTTCCTCAATTGGGTCGTTAGTCTCTTGTTCTCCCTTAGCAAAAGCATCAATTTCCTCCATTTGTTCTTCTAGAGATTTCTCTTCTTTTTCAGATTTTCTCTTCTTCCATGCCCTAACTCTTAAGGCAATATCAGTTGAGGATGACTCTTCCAGCTTTTTGCTTTTGGAATTTTACCAGCCTTTTCTCTGGGTTTGTAGATTACCATGGCTAGGGTTGATGTTTCTTCTAGTTCAAAATTTTGTTAGGTTGAAGGGGACTTTTCACTTGAATTTCAAGAGGTTTCTTCTTCCTTGATCAAGGGTTTTGAGAAGTACATGGATAGTTTTTACTAAAGTCGTTTTTGTTGATTTGATGGTGAGTAAATGGGGTGGCTGAAAGATTCTTTTATAATAATTGAAGCGGTGTAAGGGATTTGATAGGTTTACTGTTTAGTAATTTAATGGAACAATAAATTTTATCTTTAGAAACATTTTTAATCAGATTGTTTTTAAGAAAATTATCTTTTCTTTTCAAAAGATAAATTTTTCAAAACAAGTGCACCTGGAACACGCTATATACACACATACATTGTACAACATTAATCGTACACGTTATCAAGTGTTATATGGGCTGACCTTGGTGAACTTACAACCGGTGACATTTCAACTATGTTTAGCCCACCAAGTTTGTGCTAGATGTCCTTTTTCCTTCTTTTGCATTATTTTTAATCTCGCAATATCTTGGATTTATAGAAGCAATTAGCTTAATCATTCCAATTTCCAGTCTCAATTTCTCAAATCTTTCTCTGTTCAAGGGCCTAGTTAGTATATCTGCAATTTGAATATCAGTTTGACAAACTCTAACTTAATGTTGGCATGTTCCATGTTATTTTTCAAGAAGTGATGTTTAATGTGGATGTGCTTGACCTTAGAATGTTGGGCTGGATCATTAGAAATACAAATAGCACTAGTTTTATCACAGTATATAGGAACAAATTAAAAAATTATTACCAAAATCTCGAACTTGTTGCTTTATGCACAACATTTGTGAACAACAAGAAGATGCAGCTACATATTTTGCTTCAGCTGTGGACAAGGCAACAATATTTTGCTTCTTAGAACCCAAAGAAAACATGGTCCTAGAAACCGTGCCTTACCTGATGTGCTTTTTCTGTTTACCAATTCACCTGAATAATCAACATCAATGTACCCAACAAGGTCAAACGAGTCACTTCTAGAATAGAAGAGTCCTAAGTCATCAGTTCCTTTCAAATATCGAAGAATTCTTTTCACAGCTCTTAAGTGTTTCTCCTTCGGGTTTATTTTCTTGGAACCTGGCGCATATACCTAAACTAAAAGATATATCAGGTCTACTAGAAGTTAGGTATAGTAGAGAACCAACCATACCTTTTTACATAATTTGGTCTATGCTAGTTCCAGTTAGGTCTTCATCTAATATTGTTGTAGTTCCCATTGGCGTATGATTGGTTTTGGAACTTTCCAATTTGTATTTCCTTATAAGTTCCTTGATGTATTTCCGCTAGTGTATCATTATCCCTTCCTCAATTTTTTTGATTTGCAAACAAGGAAGGAATTTAACTCCCCCATCTACTCATTTCAAACTCTCCACTCATAAGTTCAGCAAAGAACTTACATAGAGATTCGTTAGTTGTACCAAATAGGATATCATCGACATAAATTTATACAAATAGAATGTCCGTCCCTTTTGATTATAAATATAATGTTTTGTCAATTTTTCCTCGTTTAAAATCATTATTCAAAAGGAATTTAGACAATCTTTCATACCATGCTCTGGGAGCTTGCTTTAGCCTTTAGAGAACCTTGACAAGCTTATAGACATGGTGTTTTAAGTTATAGTAATTTTCGTTCTCTTTCCCTCTCCCCTCCTTCTTAAGTCTCAGTTATCACACATCTCTCTCTCATTTCACTGGCTCTCTGTCCTCAATTCTCTCTCTCTCTCTATCTCCATCCCCTTAACGACGAAGGCAACCATCGCCATAACCACAACCACCGCCGCTCACAAATTCTCTCACCACTTAAATTAAAACATTTCAGCTCTCTTCCTCTCACTGTGCGCTCTTTCTCTCTCTCTCTCTGAGTCTTGACTCCACAGCTAGTCCACACACTCTCTCTTTCTTCTCCCTCCTCATTCACTGATGGTCACGGTGGTGACGGTGGTCACGAGCAATAACGATGGTGTGGTTCGATTTCTAGGGTTTTGATTTGTGTTCATGGTATGAGCTTCTTTAAACTTTCCCCTTTAAATTCCAAATTTAGGGTTCTTTTTCATAATTACTAGTTTAAATATTTGAGTTTTTTTCAGCTTCTATGGTTTCGATTTATAATTGTTTGCGGTGGTGGATAGCAGCGATGGTGAGTTTTGATTTGTAATTATTGGCGGTGGTGGAGAGTTGATGAAATTATTGACGCTAAAACTCCAGCTTCGTGCCCCGATCTCCAAGGTCAAAGATCTTCGAGTAAGCCTTCTCTTTTTATCTCTCCTTTTTCTTCTTTCTTGTTCCTCTTTAATTCATCTCTTCTGCATTCATCAAGAAAGAGAAAAATCTGGTACAAAACAACTCCATATTTCAACCTAGGTTTTTCCAATCATTTTCAATTCTAAAACACATTTTTCAGCTTGGTTATGGAGTATTTTTGTAATTTTAATTTTGTTTTGAATTTCAGAAGCAAAAGCAATCAGAAGAGGAGTTTGGGAGGAAATCAAATGAATTAGAATCTGAATTAGCTTCATCAACAAAAGTACGCCAAAAATTAGAAAGGAAGGTTTGAATTTTTTTTGCACATCAACTGTCGATGAAATTCCTTTGAGAGATACTGGTTCTATTTGGTTAATTATAGTTGTGATAGGTAAGTTATCTCCAGAATGACAATGCTTTACTGGAGATGCCATGTTATGGGTTTAATACATTTAACTATTTAAGTAGCACTTAGACACCTAATATTATCGAACATAACTTGGACGAATTTTGAACATATATAGCTTTTTCCATAAGACAATGAGTTCTGGAAGAATCTACGAGTAAATCAATGTTTGATAAGAGGTTGTCATCCTTGTTTTAGTTCTTTAAATGAAAATCATATTACTTCCTGTAGTGGTCTGCCCAACAGAGACAATGTCAGCTACATGTACCTGTAATTTGTTCACTATACTGTATGTACCTTGTTGGTGTAGTTATACAAGTAATGTCATGTAGTGTGTTTTTATTGTATATTCATGGGTGAAGTTGTATAGTTTTGGAGTTTTGATGATTCATGCTATTGTCGTTGATGGTGTTAGGGTTGTTGCTGCTATTGCTATGGTGTTGTTTACTTTATAAATGTTGTTGTAGTTGATAGTTTCTAGCCACACTACTAAACAGTGTCTTTCATAGATGTTTGATTGATTGGTAATTATATTAAATTGTCACTAACTTACAAGTTCTGCTGCTACATACAAATGGCTTTAGTGGAAATCAATACTCAATAATTGTATTTAAATTGATGTGTATTATTGCCTTCATAGTATTTCTTGTGCTGGTAAGTCATTTGTTTTTATTATATGGCATGGTAGCTTCATGTCGCTTGTTGACTCGAATGAACAATACAAGAGGGGGGGTGAATTGTAATGTAGAGGAACTAAGGTAATTTTCACGGAATTAATAAAATATAACTTAAAGGAACTCAAAAGTGCAAAGAGAGATTTTACATGGAAAACTTCTTGGCCCTAATCAAGAAGAAAAACCACAACCATTAAGGATTTTAAAACTCAACTTTTAATTATAATAGGGCAAACAACCTATTACAAACTAAGACTCTAACTTAAGTTCCTCGACGAACTTGAGTTCCCACTCAACTGATCCCTCCACCAGTAGGTTCTCTCAAACTCTCTCTTTCTCTAAGCTTCACTCAAAGCTATTCTCATTCATATTTCACTTAAACTCTAACCCAATACAACACAAGATTAACTCTAATATTAAGAACAAAGACACTTTAAGACTCAAGTGGATTTTGACTCTTTTTAAAACAAGGATGATCGTAATGCTCTAGTGTAATTTTACCAACTGAAAAACAGCCTATTTATAGAGGAGTCAAGGCATTTACTCTCACCGTTACTTTAGTTCCACTTAGCCACAACTTCCTTACTTTCAAGAAGTGTAGTTGAGGGAAACTTAGGCAGCAAGCAGAAGTAACTTCCCTATTTTTACTCAAAATCATTTTGCTACTTCCCCACTCTTCTCAACAACTTTAACTAAGCAAAATACACGTTCAAATAATTTTAAAATAGATTTTACAATAGACAAATATATAATAAAAAAATCTTTTCCTAAAGGATATTTTCCAAAAAGATATTACTTAAATAAAAACTACAATAAATAAGGAAAATAAATCTTATCATATTAAATAAAAATCCACTTGACTCCTAAACATGTAAACCTGCTAAATATGAACATAAGAAGCCTAAACCAAAACAGAAATAATTTAGACTCCTGAGTTCTTCTCTTAAAACTTTGACTCTGATGCTTCAGTTCCTCCCTCAAGGAACTCGACCTCTAATTTTCTTCATTGCTTTCCTTCACTCCTTAAGTTGCCTTCAAACCATGTTATATGCTCCTTCCTCCTTTAGATCATCATTAAATATAACTTAATTCCATTAGGAACCTGTCATCCACACAACTCAATAGAAAGTTAAAGTCTTATGAGTTTTCTTAAGTTCTATTAAGTCATCATCAAAACTTTAAGGTCAACAATAATATTCCCCTTTTTTTTATGAATGACAAACCCAAGCAAACTCTATAGCAGCAATGAAACTAAAATCAGAAATACTAAGATAAATCCTAAAAACTAATAAGATTAATAACTTGAATCAAAGTTTAAGGGAATTCGTACATATACCATATCCAATTAAGCTTGTTGGAGAACTTGTCAACAATCGAGTTTGCCCTTTTTTCCCCTTTTGGCTTTCATCAAAATTAATGCAATTGTAAGTATCTTAACAAAGCACCATCAAGGATGGTTTGTGTCTAAAGCAAAGAACAAAGCATATACATATAGGCAGAAATAGCACGCAAATAGTCAAAAGCATGCAAGCATGCATGTATTAACATCACAAAGCAAACTGATGTTCCTCCAAACATCAAAATCCAAAAACAAATACCCTGTTTAAAAGTTTACAGACCCAAACATAGCAAGATAGAAATAGTTTAATACGGACTAAGTTTAAAGTTCAAAGTTTTAAAAGCTAGGCAAAGAAACAAAGAGTCAAGCTTCATTAATTGGAGCAAAGGAGTGATGTTCTTCACCAACATCTTCTTCAGGGATCTCTTCTACTACAAGATCCTCGTGCTTCTTCATCAAGTTCTCCTGTCCTTAAGTGAGGGTAGTGGTGCTTTGCTTAAGCTTAGTGACCAGATCCTCTAGGGATTTAGCTAGGTCATCCACCACCTTTTACAGAGCTTCTATCCTTTTAAGCAGAGCTGGTTGGGAATATGTAATCTTTTTCATAGACTCCTTGAGCTCCTTTAGTTCCTCTGAGGAACTAGAAGAGCTAAAGGTAGCAAAACCTATCCCTTGTGAAATAAAGCAAGTGATAGTGCCCTGTTCCCCCTAAACTTGTACTTTCTCCTCACTAAAATCCACAAAAGCAGGAGGCCCAACCTTTATCTTGGGTTTCACAGCCAATCTTACACTCTTTCTTTTTCCCACGACACATCCTTTCTTTTTTCTGTTTTTTCTATTTTTTTTCTTTCTTTTTCTCTTTTCTCCCAATTCTCCCTCATTCTCATCTTCTTCTTCCATCCACTTCTCAAACTCCTCATCCTCAGTTAGTTTCTCAGTTTCTTCCCATTTTATCTACGATTTTGGTTTTGGTTTAGGAAGAAACTGAGTAACACCATCAACAACAAGAAAATTTTGGCTTTTAAGGGTCTAGGGTTGGACATTGTGGTTAGATTTTAGATTAAGGTGTTCATAAGAGAAATACCAAAGCTTTCAATGAGAGAAATTAGTAGGTTCTCATATCCAACTTTCAAGTGATTTGTGATGTAGTGAGGTGTTTTATTATGAGAGAAGGGAAGTTAATTTGGATTTTATTCTCAAGGCAATACATTAGCACAAAATCGAGGTGATTTGCCTCATTTCTGTGCTGGGTTCTTGGGAGAATAGGTTGCCACACAATAACGAAGAACAATCTTTGAATGGGAGAGAAATTGTGATGGTTTGTTCTCACCTTAGAAGCTTTTCCACCAATCGATTCCACAATTTTTCCAATTGACATCCCCTTAACACTTAAATCAGTTTCTCCTTTAAAATACTCATCATACCCCTCATTCAGAGTGCCAAACACATAACACAAATAATCATTATCAAAACTAATTTTTCGGTTTTTGTCCTTGGTAGTGCACACACCGTCAGCATTCTTAAAATTAGAACAAAATTCTTTCAAGGGTGCATGAGCAAGCACATTATCAAAACATTCACTAAACAATTTAATCCAATTTTGAGCTACAATAATTTCAAGTAATTTAGAATATTTACAAGCCTCGCACCATTTTAAATTGATGCAAAAACCCGGTATAAAGCGATCAAAGCTTGCTTTGATCCTTTTGACAGCCAGCGATTTTTTCCCCTGAGAGGGTTCACTAAGTTCCTTACACTCTAATTTCCATGGATGAGTACTTTTGTGGTGAGGTTTTCAAATTTGGAGAGATTCCATGGGTAATGAAGAGAAATCAGTGAAGTGAAGATTTTATTTTACGAAGTGAGGTGGTGAGGAAAAGAGGTTAGGGTTTGGTTCCATTTATAGAGGGTAAGTATTGGGAAGGTGAAATGTGGCGGTGGAAGAGCGTGGAATTGAAGCAGGTGATGAGTTGAAAGGGTGAGGTGTCGTTTGAAGAAGGACAATAAAAAAAAACATCTCCCTTGGTCTAGATTAAAAGCTTCAATTTAATGTAATGTAATGTTGAAGAGTCAAGGGTATTTAAACAATGAGATAGTTTTTGAAATTTGGAATTAAAATTTGATTTTTGGAAAAAATTTCTTAGAATAGGATATTGAGGTAAAGTATAGAAAATTTCAGAAGATAAAATTTATTAATTGGATAGCTAATTAATCTAAAAGGATAAACTCAAATCTTTTGAATTTTATACGGAGGATCTTGGAACAACTCTAGCTTGAATATGATTAAGACGTTTGATTATGCAATTAATTTCATCACATATAACCACAACCTCATATGCAAGGCTATACATTGTAATAGGCTCAGGACTATGTTTTCACATATTCAAGTTGTGTAGGACACATAACATGCATATAAAGGCTGATTTATACCTTGGGGGGAACTTGAGGTCTTCTCAACTCAATTGTATCATACCAAGTTCCATGCACATCTTTTCAAATTTATCCCTGTTTCGGGGTTTTTGGAGTCCCTCGGGAGAGTTACAATTCCAAGAATGGATGCCGACCGTCTGTACCTGCAAAACCACGGAAACTCCGGTTGGGTAGAGTTCCGCCTCCGACGATCAAGTTAGTATGTTTACGGACGGAGTTAAAGTGCGGAATGTATAGAGTTTCTCTCAAATTCCGAGAGAATATCTGCAATTAATATTGCTCTGATTTGTGTGGATATTTCTGAATCGTGCAATAAATGGGGATCTCTCCCTATTTATAGGATTTGAGGATCAACTCCCCTTTCATGACTTGGACTGCCACGTGTCGTCAGAAGATTGGTTCTTTCAGAACCTCTCTCAGGCTGACACGTGTCAGCATGCAATTGGTCCACGTGGACCGGGGTATTTTTACCCTAAACAGTTGCCTCTCACAGGTGTGATGTGGCTTGCCACGTGGCACCTGTGATAGGTGTCACAATCTGAGAAGGCGACGATTCGCCTCCTTCCCATTTTTTTTTTCAGGTGACGGTTCGCCTTCTAGGGGATTTCCTCTATAAGTAGAAGTACTCCCCCCCCCTCATTTTCCTCACTTTGATATTTTTAAGAAATTTTTCTGAGAGGGAGAAAAGAGAGCTCTGAGACCGGCTGCCATTATTTTCATAACCGCCTGCTTCTTCTTGAGTCAACCGGTTACCGTCTGCACTATCATTACTCAAGGCTCATCAGAACCGTCTGAGTAGACTTCAGCTGA